CCTGAAGTCCTGTTGATTTCAACTTGAATTTGTAGACCACCGAGCCCAAGGATACAGCTATATCAAAAGTGGCCAGCTTTTCATCCATATCTATTATGTCTATTTCAGCAGGAACAGATGAGCATGCTCGGACAGCCCATAGCAGAAATCTTTGCTGTAGGCTTTCTTGGATACTTAGCTCAAATTTTTCTACTCTTCTAGAAGGGTCATGGAATGCTTATATGGTTGCTTAGCAATGTTACCTCTAAGCACCCCTCCTGCCCTTTTTTTATTCAGTGTTTATTGCATAAATTGCAGAAAATAAAAGAAAGAAAAAGAAACTCTACCTGGAAATTATAGAACTGCCACAATCCTTTGCTTTAAAATGGCAGTCATAGCAAAAACAGGGGCACTCCACCACACTGGGCACTGAACAATCCTTAGTAGATTGTATTTCTAGTTACCAGTCTATAGTTAGGAGCCCCCGGTGACGCAGTGGGTTAAACCCCTGTGCTGGCAGGACTTAAGACCGACAGGTCGCAGGTTCGAATCTGGGGAGAGGCGGATGAGCTCCCTCTATCAGTTCCAGCTCCTCATGTGGAGACATAAGAGAAGCCTCCCACAAGGATGATAAAAACATCAATTCATCTGGGCGTCCCCTGGGCAACGTCCTTGCAGGCGGCCAATTCTCTCACACCAGAAGCGAATTGCAGTTTCTCAAGTCGCTCCTGACACGACAAAAAAAAAAAGTCTATAGTTTAGAGCAGGCATGGGCAAACCTGAGGTGTTTTGGACTTCAACTTCTACAATTCTTAACAGCTGGTAAGCTGGCTGGGATATCTTGGTGTTGAAGACCAAAGCACCTAGATAGAGGGTAAGAGAGAAAGTTGTCAAGAGCAGGGATGGATAGACTTGATAATAATAATAATAATAATAATAATAATAATAATAATAATAATAATAATAATAATTTTCTAGACCGCCCTCTCTCTCCGAAGGGACTCAAGGCAGTTTACACACAAAAAAATGCTTTAAATAAGTACAAACACATCAAAAAATAATAAGAGTACTGCACATTAATAACAGTAAATTTACAAGGGTTATCCAGAAAGTAAGGTTATAAGACTTTTTAAAAAAATACAAAGAATGAATATATTTTAAGGAAACTTACATAGATTGCAGCATAGATATTACGTTATTTTTCCACATAATCACCATTCAGTTCAATACATTTTGTCATTCATGGGATGAGTTTTTGATGGCTGTGTCATAGAAGTTTCCCTCCACCGTTTTCAGCCAGTTTGTCACATTTTCACCTCGTCATTGAAAAAGTGTTTTCCACCAAGGTGTTCCTTCAACTTAGTGAACAGATGGTAGTCACTAGGTGCGAGATTGGGGCTGTGAGAGGGGTGGCTTAAAACATCCCAGCCAAATGAAGTTAACAACTCTTGTGTTGCACGAGCGTTGTGTGGACGCATATTGTCATGAAGGAGATGGACTCCCACTGTCAGTATCCCACAACATTTGTTTTGGATGGCTCTGCAAAGAGTCTTCATGATCTCACAATATATTCTGTACCCATTTTGTCACATGCTGTCTTGGCATTACGTCCTCTCCATAAACTGAAACAATTTTGTGCTGAATTACAGTGGTGTTCATGCCCTTAGCATTTAGGTAGTGTATTACAGTATGAACTTCACGGAATGAGGATGTTTATCTCTAACCTTCACCACAATGCCAGTCAATGAGCTACTACTACTACTGGCACTGCTCACTTGTTTCTGCTGGCTTCCCGTTACATGGCAATGATACCAATTTCCCCTGAGAAAATTCCCCATGAGAACTACATGCCTTGTAACCTTATTTTCTGGATAACCCTCGTATAACAGAAAAATGAAACTTCGAAATGAAAACAGAATAAAAATAGGACATAGTAACACAAATGACATGAATTAACATTAAGACATATACTTTAAAAGCAATTAAAATTCATTAAAATGGCTATTGTTGGTGTTCATTTAAAATGTATCATAGCAAGGAAGTAATAAACCTCAGCCTGCCAGAACTGAGCAAGGCTGTTGATGATAAGTGACCTTCAAAGGGTCACCATAAGTCAAAGTCAACTTGGCCAGAGTTAACAACAATAAAGATAGGCCTTTACATCAGTGTACTGCAAGCAATGGGATTTCAGTTTGATTTTATTTTGTCAAAATGTAAGGCAAACAAGTGCATGAGTCTGTAAACTATAGTTTATGCTAGTGGCCATGAGGGAAAATTAGAGTTATATCTATGCAGTTGCTTAAGGGTTCTTTTAGTACAAGAATGGAGAAACATAGCTGCCAGCTTCTCTGTTTAATTTATATATTGCACATATCATAATATGGTAGATGACATGAACATTGGTGGAAGGAAAATCAACATGTAGGTGTCTCTATATTTCTAGTAGAAAATAGTTGACATGAAAAAACTACTGAGGAAGAAAGTGCAAAAGCAGGATTACAATCAATGTTAAGGAAACAAACATACTGACCATAAAGATTTCAGATGGATCAACTCAAGCAGCCAGCAAAAGAAATATAGAAACAATACTTCATTCACAAAGCTGTTTTTACAATACAGTAAAACCATGTTACATTAAGTTAAGCTTGTCTTTGTCTTAATTGTCTTTTAATTACTGTATTTCAATATTAATATCAAGTCAATACAGAGTTTATGATGTAGTATGGGGAATAGTATTAGTTAGGCCTATTTTTAATAGTAACTCTGATGCAACCAGAAACTATGTATTTCTTCCCTTTTCACATTCATAGGGAAAAAAATCCCTTATATTCTCATGTATCTGAGAAGAATTGCCATTAGTCTCAATCATCAAACCCCAAAACTGAGCTCTTTATTTCTTATAATTATATAAATACGACAACAAATGAATAGGTTTAAAAAAAACCCCCTGGATTTTTGCATAATTTATCAAAACTTAATCTACGTCATGTACTGGTATTAGTAAGTGATTTGTTTCAAGATACATTATTCAGATTTGCCAATACAGACCAGTTTATATGTTTGCCGTATCCCATAGTACAGTAGTATCCAATAAGTTAATACATAATATCATTTATGTTATATACTGCACCGCAATGTCTTGTAAGCTGCCCTGAGTCCCTTTTGGGAGATAGTGGCGGGATATAAATAAAGATGATGATGATTATTATGATTATTATTATTATGATTATTATTATTGTTTCACCAAGGATAACGTCAGCCTTATGATTATCTTCAAAGGGATGTTTGTAATTGTAAGACTGTATAAATGCAAATGCATTGAAAGCCTCGCAGGTCATAAAAAATGATGTGGTTGGATTCAGCCCACTGGCATTGCTTTTGACACATGTGTTTCAGGGTTTACTGGAGTCTCCATATTCTCATCACACTTTCTCATTTCCACTTGTGCTCTTTCCTCTCATTTCTAAGGTGACAATATTCAGCGTTATCGATCTCCTTCTTTATATCTTTCTTTTGTGTCATTAGGAAAACAGTAAATCTGTTATCTTATTTCCCAGCACAAACATGATCTGTAGCACTGGAATTTTCAGAAGGATATTTCTATTTCTGAAAAAATAGCATATTGAGCTCTGGTTTTTAGTCTGCCTCCTTTCACCAGCCTCCTTTTGTCTTATCCTTGATGGTGCTCTTCTTCCCAGGTTTACATTTAAGGCCATATATAATATATCTGTTCTTTCCTATAGTTAGCATTGTTTCATATTTCCTAGCTCCCCTTTTCAAATATGTATCTTGGATTATTGCATTGTATTTTCAACATTCCTTCTTCTCATCCCATCCTCTAATTTCAGTTATGAATGCAGTGCACCAGGTACGATCCATATGCCTTGGTAGTTTATAACAAAATGCTTCTTCAACTCAGTACACACCTCTTCATCAACCGAGTCCATTCTTGGGAAGGTCTTGGAAGCCAGAGTATGTTTGCCCCCCCAATATTCTGGAGTAGTCTTCCCAGGCCTCTTCCACACAGCTGAATAAGGTCTCACATTATCTGCTTTGAACTGGAATATATATGGCAATTCAAAGCAGATATTGTGGGATTTTCTGCATTGATATTCAGGGCTGTGTGGAATGGCCCCCAGGCTAATTTGCACATCAGTCATTTTGTTGAAACTAGTATAACATTTTCTTGTGTTCATATAGCTTTTTTATTTTAAGTATAATGATGGTTTTGCTTCAGGCTCGTTTTAGTTCCCATACTTTGCACTATATTATATTGTTTTGGCATTTGTGTAATCAGACTTGTATGCTAGATGGTTGAAGAGAGATTAGGATTTATTTGCATTAGAAAATTGCCCAACTTTATTTGGGTTAATTTCTGGGGCATTTCACCAAGAATCCTCTGAAATAGTTTCCACATACACCACATAGCAGACAACAGATATAGAAAACAAATAATGCAGACTTCATATTTCATTTCACTCTTGCCACTTGGACCATTCCACATCTTTGTTTCATTGACTCTATATCTGTAACCTAAGCCCAAACCAAAGCTACAATTAATTCTTAATTACCCCTGGGTTTAATAGAGGAGTGGATTAAATTTTTCCAAATTTGTAACTGCCTGATAAGATATTAATATAATGGTTTTCATATTAAGTTAATGTTAAGATTGTGGGATTTAGTATATAGTGCTTAGACGATACTTCCAGTTTATCATGTATGATCCAAGGGGGCTGGTGTTTTTTCACATTTGTATGACTTGAAATGTTACTGGTACTTCAGGCCCCTTTTACACTGCCATATAATCCAGATTGTCAAAGTAGATGATTCACGTTATCTACTTTGAACTAGATTATATGAGTCAACACTGCCATATAATCCAGTTCAAACCAAATAATCTGGATTTTATATGGCAGTGTAGAAGTGGCCTCGGTGAACCAGCAACAAGAGAGGAATTTAGATTTTTCAGAACTAGTTTTTGAGGGTGTTTTAATGACCTGTAACTTTTCTTGTTTTTCCAGGCACACAGACAAATGGCCTGGACTTTCAGAAACAGACTGTGCCTGCCGCAGGAGCAATCTCTACAGCCCAGGCCTTCCTTGGACACCTTCATCAGGTACATGTCAGTTTTCTTTTAATCTGAATCTTAGAAGGAGCCATGGAAATAAACTTTCTCTGTCTAATAGGGAGGCAAGTCCATGAACATATGGAGTAGTGTAACTTTGATGTTGTGCTCCAGTAGCAAAATAAAATGTGCCAAGTTCTTGAAATAATGGGTTTTTTTAGTCCTGCATAGTTCAGAATGGGGAAGAAAAAGAAGCTGTCAAAACATTGAAAAGGACAGCAAGACTTTTGAATGTAAACATAAGGAGAGTGAGATATGCCCCTGTGTGAGTAGGTTCATTTCGAACAGTCCCTTGTATGGCCATATGGAGAGAGCTACATTTATGCACACATATGCATCTGCATAAATGCTTTCTTTACTGAACAGATTACACCATAAAGTAATTGACCCTTTCATCTAGAAAATCTGTATGACTCTTGGCTGAAAAACTGATGCGGTTTCAAAAAGAAAATGAAAAAAGGTCAATAAACAACAGAAGTAACTAAGTTCCACTATATTTTTTACCTTCAATCTTGCAAAAGCTTGTTTATACGCACTCACTCTACAATTGGTGTTTTTAGAGTATCTGTCATTAAGTTTGAGATGGAAGTCTTTCATTGCTTTCTCTAGCTGGTACCCGCTTTCTTGCTTATCATAGCATCAATTGATGCATCAGAGGACTAGGTTAGGTTTTCACCTGTTCCTTAGCACTGAGAATTTGATAAAAAATACTTTCACAGAACCCAGAAAACTGTATTTAAGACAGAAGCAGCTGAAAACACCGTGCTTTGCAAAAGTTGTGCTTTGTCTTGAGCCTGTTTTTACAGAGGTGGTGGGAAATATTAGAATCCTGTTACATGCATCATAACTTTAGAGTTGTCTGAAGAAAGGACACTATTGTGTGGTTAAACTTTGAAGAAATTTCAGAAAGCTCGGTTGCTCTAAAAGAGTTTTAATGGCCATTGCACAGAGATGGATTCAGGACTGTTTGAGTGTTGGACTTGCCGACCTGTAGGGTCCCTTTCTACTCTGAGGATGCTCTGAAAGTCTTCACCAGAGTCAGTTAAAGTACATGCATCCTTCGTTGAGAACTCCAGTAATTATCAGTTTATTTCTGGGCACAGTGAAAAATGGCAGTTATGACTTATATTACTTGGGGCCAACTTACCTGGAGAACTGCATTTCCCAATACGAGCCTGCTTGAGTTCTAAGATCTGTAGGTTCAGCCTTGCTCTTTGTTCTAACACCCATAACAATGACAACAAGTAAGGCTTTCTTGTGTTATGCAGTGTTGTCAGTAGTTCTCAACCTGTGGGTCCCCAGATGTTTTGGCCTTCAGTTCCCAGAAATCCTAACAGCTGGTAAACTGGCTAGGATTTCTGGGAGTTGTAGGCCAAAACACCTGGGGACCCACATCTTGAGAACCACTTCGTTAACTAATAAGATCTGTGGCTATTAAAGTAGATTGCTGCAAAAGTGTCTTTCCAACTGAGCAGGTGTTCTTATAGATTTGTTTTTCATTCATTTTAAAATTGGCTAATATTTTTAATCTGTTGTTTACTTTATTAGCCACATTGAATTCTGTCCCTCCCCATTCCATCCCCCCAAAATCCCTAGAATTCTATGGCTCTCATAGAGGTTACTAGGGTTTGCAAGTTAATTGTGACTGGAAAAAAATACTTCTTTTTGTTCTGAGCTGTGTGACTAACAATTTTTACATGGAGGTTATTTGAAATCTGAAAATTATTTTAAGGGTTCCTCCAGGGTAAAAAGGTTGAAAAATGGGTTGCTGTATCACCCTGTTTCAGAAGCATTGTCTCCTGACATTTCACCTGCATTTATGGGAGGCATCCTCAGAGGTTGTGTGGTTGAAAAATGCTGAAATCATTGATAGACTGTACCAGTTTTGTTACTGTGGCTCTTTGAAACAATGGATTAGGCCCCTTTTATTTGAGTTTCCAGCTGCTGCTGAAAACACTACTATTTAATTATCCTTTGATTTTGGTAATCTGATATTTTCAACCAATAGTGATTTCCCAAAAATGCTAACTCCTTGTGTATATTACATACAGTGAATGTTTCATCACAACTTTAATTGATACTCCTGTTAGTAGCCTTGAAAGTCTCTGAAGACATGTGAAGGATTACAAATATTTTAATAGATGAAATAAATACTTTGCATGGTCTTTATCTTTCATCTGTCTTTCCATGTTTTATGACCTGGAATGCTCAAAAATACCTGAGTGTGGTGGAATATTGAATATGGATGTGGCTAAAGAGAGATGGTACTATGCAATATGGTAAAAGGTCCTGGTGAAGGAAGGAGAACATAATAGTAATAATAGTAATATAAATGACACTTCATATACACATTGTCTTCATTAATATCACTTCTGTACTGATCAGTTTCAAGCTAATTATTTGTAGCATCAATTTGTCTCTAAGCCTTGTACATTAACAGATTGTGCAACAATAAGACAGGGTTGGGCTACTTGTGCCCCTCAATATGTTGAATTACAACTTCCATTAACTGTAGCTAGTAGCCATGTGCAATCCATGATTCTAAATGGTTCTAAATTACTTACAAAACTTAAGTTCTGGTGGTGAAAACTAGGGGGTGCTGGTGCTTTGCTTCTACAGTGTCGCTAAAGTTCTGGTGGTGAAACTTTCAGAACTCTAACAGAACTTTCAAAATTTAATTATAAGTGGCAGTTCCTAATAGGTTCTGTCATAAAAATCCCCAATAATGAAATAATAATGAAGTTTTGTTAGAGTTCTGAAATTTTCACCACTAGAACTTTAGCAACACTGTAGAAGCAAAGCACCAGCGCCCCCTAGTTTTCACAACCTTTAGTTTTGTAAGTACTTTAGAACCATTTAGAACCATGGATTGCACCTGCCTAGTAGCTAGCATAAATAGTAATTACAGTACAATTACAACTGGAGGAACATGTTACCCATTTCCTAAAGTAGTGTTTCACTATCCTGTAATACCTCAAAGGTGAATCAGTAACACAGAGGATTTGTTTCAATGGAACCCTGAGTTTGCAGGGACAGCAGCCTGAATTTTCTTTAGATTTTTGACAGACCAATACGATTGGAGAATGGATTGACAAAACTGGGGGGTTTTTTCTGGCAAAACTAACCATTCTATGCGTTTATATTGAATCTTTAATTTTTGAAGTTGCTACTAGTTTTTAGAACCAACATTGTATATTGGTTTGAATATTGGGCTAATCATCTGGAAGGCAAGGGTTCAAATTCCCACTCAGCCATGAAAAACAATTGGGTGACACTCTCACTTTCAGATATAGGCAGTGGTAAACTCCCTGAATAAACCCTGCTAAGAAAACCCAGTGCTAGGTTTGCTTTAAGGTTGCCATAAGTCAGATATGTCTTGAAGCCACATAACAACCAAAACAGTAATAACAACAAACTATTGTTATATCTGCTTTGTTTTAATTTCCCATCCTTTATGGTAGCAATAACTGTATCCCACTGTTTTATCATGCATATTTGGTATTTTTTCTTGAAATTATTCTACAAGGCAGTGTTTGAACTTTCTTATTGGAAAGTTTTTGCATTGGAGCACTTTGAGCTCAGGCCTTGGTTAAATGGACTTTTATGCCTTTGCTAGCTATACCTAAGAGATTTTTTTCATAAGCTCAAGCAACCAAAAAAGAGCTGAAACAGCCAAATATGCCAGTTTATTAACTTAGCCAATTCTCTAAGACAGCTGTGCATAGTGCTGTCTTGGAAGCCTTTCTATAATTAATATGGCTGCTTCTCAGTGTGCTACTGGGCAAGAAGATTAAACTGGATGTTGGCACTGGAGATGGGAGCTTTTGGGACACAAATTGTCTGCTTGGTGACAGATGGCATGTTTGTGATCTTGTAAGATCCAGCCCAGAAGTGATGGAGACATTTGGAGAGGCAACATAATATTTCCTTATATTGTAAGGCTAGTGCTTCTTCGTTGAATATATTGTTGAATTCTCAGCACTATTCTGCAGCTTCTGTGTGCATTATGTGGCACAGCTCTTTTGGAACCTCTTTTCTTAAGAGATGTCATCTTGTTACATTTGATATGTGTCAGGACCCAGATGCCTTCAAACACTCCAGTCACGGTTCAAATGGTAAAACACAGCTTTATTGATAACAAAAACTCTTGAAAAGCATTTAACAGCAGTGCTGAAGTCTATTGGAGTAGTTTGACATCAAAATTGAGTCAATAGAGCAAACTAAAATATAATCCGGATTATAGTGTAGACTCTTAATCCAGATTAAACTAAAAATGAAGCAAACTGCTTAAAAATCAATATGTAGCATAAGTACAGTCACTGGAGCAAGAAAATCACACTTTCAGAACAAAAGAATGTTTCAGTCCCAAAAATTTAAACACATAAAGTCCAGAAAAGCCAGAGCGTGGTCAAACCTGTCCTGAGGTCAATCTGAAGGAATCAAAGCTGGAAACCTGGAAAGCTGAAAGCTGGAACAACAGGAACTCACGAGGCTGGAGCCCGGGACCCAAAGGTGAGAGTTTGGCAAGGCAAAGAGTAAGGTCCCATTTGGACACTTTGCTTCCTGCAACTAGATGTGCCAACAGAACTCCCTTATATCTTAAAGCTCATTGTCAGAGCTTGATGAGCTCCCCACCCTTTCATCATCGCTATCACCTGCTGCCAAGTCTGCAGCTGAATGCCCATCTCTCCACCTTTGCCAAGTACTATCAGGGGTCAGATTCTGCCAAGAATCACCTGGCTGCCAGTCCCCCATGAACCCCTCGAACTCCTCGCTGGAAGTGGGCTGGTTGCAGATGTCTCTTATATTCTGTACCTGAGTCCAATCTAATTCCTCCCCTTCCATGTCACTTCCAGACCCCAAATCCCCCTCAAAGCCCAAAAAGTCCTCCTCAGAAGTGGTTTCCTTAAGTAACTCCCAAATACGCTTCCTCTGTGCTTCTCCTTCAGATTCTGGCTCACAAACAGTCCTTTTAACACCTCTAGATGCTT